GGCCGCCGCCTTGCCCGCCTGCCCCCGGGGCTGACCCCCGCCGCCCCTGGCGCCGACTGACCACCGGCCACCCCCGGGGCTAACTGACCACCGCCACCTCAAGGCTGCGCGGCACCCTGCCAGACCCCGGCCACCCCAGGGACTGCCCCTCCCCCTGCCAATTCTGGACTGATCCCCGCACCTGTGCCCCCATTACCCCTGGATTGTCTGACCCCTGGCCTGGCCCCACCACCCTCCCCAAGGGCTGTCCCCTCCCGGATCCCCTTGTTTTCCCCCTCAGTCTGCCCCTCCTGCTGGGCCTCTGGACCCCTTTCTCCAGTACCCCCACCCCACCCCACTCCTTTAGATGCTCCATTGTGCCAGGCACCCGGCTGGGGAAGGGTGGAGGGAGCAGAGGGGGAAACCCAGGCCTGGAGAGGTCCTCAGGTCTCCCCGCATTTGTGCTGTGGGACAGCATTCAAACCCAGGTTGCTGCCATTGAGTGCTGACTCCAAGCGACCGCACAGGACAGGGCAGAGCTGCCCCTGTGGGTCTCCCTCTGGGCGACTGCTCTTCACTGGAATAGAGAGCCTCATCTTTCCATTGGGCGGCTGCTGGTGGCTTCAAACTGCAGACCTTGCAATTAGCAGCCTGAGCATAACCACGGGGCCACCAGGGCTCCTGTGCCGTGGGAACAGGGTTGTTTTTCAGGGTGAGCCGGGTGGTGCCTCGTTCCTGCCCTGCAGCACCTTCTGTCCTTGGCTCAGCCCTGCTGGCCGCTTTGCCAGCCTTGGGCCACTGGTGCATGGGCCCCAAAATAGTGCCACTGCCCACTGGTCCACGCATTCGTTGGAGCAGCCAGATTCCGTGGGTGATTCTGGGAGAGGGCCCAGGCTAGCGCCCCTCGAGCACCACCTCTGAGAGTTTACTCACAGTGGCAGGCTTGCTCCTTAAACTGAAACCCACTCCACCAGTCGGCTCTGTTCTGACTGACAGCACCCCTCTGGGAGGTCTCCAAGGCTTTCTGGGGCAGACAGCCTCCTCTTCCTCTGCAGGAGTAAGCGACTGGTGGCTTTGAACGGACTGTGTGGTTCGCACCCAGGGCCCCTTAGTGGACTGGCTTCCTGGGAGGCCTGGTGGGTGAAAGCCAGTGCTGCCAGGCTGGCAGGGAAACACGATACTTGGCTCCTGGGAGCGGGCCCCGGTCAGGGCTTGAGTTGGCTGTAACGGCTGTCACTGAGGGAGACGTGTTGTCCTGAGAAGAAAGCTGATTCGCATCCAAGGATGAGCTTTTATTGAGTGTACCCGTCACTGCCCACCACGCTGTTTAGACGTGTGACCTGTGGCACCCGTGCACTTACCACCCGCCCTCGCATCAGAGGGCTGAGTGATGTTTGCACCTGACCCTCGAGCTTGACAGCCGTGTGGCCTCAATGTAGCCTCACGCCACCTCGCTGGAGGAGGGGCTCGTGTCACCTGAACTCACTGCCCAGGTGTCTGGGCTTCCCTGGGCCTTGGCCTGTGGGCGCCAGTGCCTGCTGTCTCGCTCATTGCGTGCTGGGTCTGCCTCTCTGGCACCCGCAGGGGCCCTTGCGATGGATGGGGAGACCTAGGCCTGCATGGGCGCTGGAAGCTCACCTGGCGAGGGAGGCCGGAAGGAAGACTGGTGTGGCTTTTCATGTAGCTCTCTACTGGACCGTTTACAGACCCATCCCAATGCTGCTGCGGGAGGGGGCAGGGAGTGAGAGGTGTGGTCCTGGGATGCTTGGGCTTCATCCGACAGCCGAGGTGGGTGTGGCTTGTTATTCTGGTTGGCTCTTTATCATTTCCATCAGTACTGACATGCGTCTGTGAGGATGGCTCTGGAATTCTCTGAATTGATATCGTCTTCCACTTGGCAGTCTGTCCAGCTGTACAGGACCCGGCCAGCAGGGGACCTTCCTGCTGAGAGGCCTGCTGAGGAGGTCACTGAATGCCCTGCTGCCTGCAGCAGGGCCTCATCCCGTCTGCCTCTGCTGGGGAGGCCTTCCCAGACCACCCGGCACCTGGTGTGCCGGCTTCCTTTCCTCTCCGCCTGGCGTGTGGGAGTGGGACACCACGGGACACCTGGGAGGCGCTGGAACAGGAAGGACAGGTGCTGGCCCTGGGGAGCAGCTCACCGCCGTCACCTGGCCCTCTCTGGGTTCTACCAAACGCGTCTGGAAAGAGCCCTCATTGGTGTAGTGGTTCTTCTGTGTCAGCTGCTCACCACAAGGTCAGCAGTTCAAACCCACCGGTAGTCAAACCCACCGGTAGCTCAGCAGGAGAAAAAGGAGGCTTTCTCCTGTAGAGGGAGACAGCCTGAGAAACCCAAGGGGCTGTTCTACCCTGCCCTGGAGGGTCGCTGGGAGTCCGCACTGTCCAATGGCAGTGAGGTTATTTTTCAGTTCCAGTGGCTGTTGCCCCAGGGTTGGGGGAGGGGCACCAGTGAGATTTCGGAGATGGCTGCCTGGGGTGTGGGGGCCAGGCTGGGCTCCCCTGTGGACAGTTCCGTCTAAGCTGTCTTGCAGTCCAGGAAAGGAGCCGGGGCTGGGTTGGGGTGAGGAGGCCTGGCCCCAGGGCACTCTGCTCAGGCAGCTCTGGCTCTGGGGCGGCTTGGGGTGCTCTGGGCAGCCTCCCTGGCTGGATTCTGAGCTGCCACTCACAGAGGGTGCTGGTGGCTGCCCAGCAGCTGGGCTCACCCCGGTCCCCTTGCTTCCATGGACACATCCGTTCTGGAGGCTTTCCTGGGCCCTCTGCCCTGTTGTCAGCCCCAGGTCACTGAGGTTCCTAGAGCCCCCCGTCCAGAGGTGAAGCTCAGCCCTGCCGAGGGCCACCATGGTGTGGGGGCTTCCAGCCTTGGTGATGGGGTGGTACCTGTACCTCCTGAGGAGGGACCTCAGGCTGCACATGGCCTTGGGCACATCCCCTCATGGGCCACCCCCCCACCTGCCCACAGGCATTGAGCCCATGGGTGTTAGCACCCCCTCTGTGCCCCCCGCCACCCCATGCTC